GGAGGCTGAAGGATGGGAAGGCTGAAGGAACAGGAGCGAGTTGCCTGGAAGGGCAGAGATTCCTGCGTGGCTCAAGGATGCAAACCAGGGGGAAAGGCTTTTGGTGGGACCAAAAAGGGAGGGAAGGACATCTGCCTCCTGCTTTCCCGGGCATGGTGCTGCTCTTTGCCTCTCTCTTCCGAGGCGCTCGCGTCTGAACACCTTTGTCCCGTGTTTTGGGGGCCTCTGCAGTCGGATGTTCACCCCTAGGGAGCCCTGAAGGATTTGGTGCTCTGTGGTAGTTAATTCTTTCTTCTTTTTTTTTTTTTTTTTTCCTTCCCAGGTGCTTCTGATGGGTAAAAGTGGGTCCGGGAAGACCAGCATGAGGTCCATTATCTTTGCAAACTACATCGCCAGGGACACGCGGCGCCTGGGTGCCACAAGTAAGGCTTCTCGTGTTTGAACCGCAAGTTCTCAGGGCTCAAACCCCCTTTCATTAAAGGGGCGAGGCTGTTCCCTCCAGCAATCTCTGCCTCTCCTCCGCTCTGGCCCACGCGGGTGTCTGCTGATCCTCCCGGCTGCCACACCTCCCAGGGAACTTCACTCCTGAGTTCAGCTGAGGGCAGTTCGGGGGTGAGAGGGAAAGGCAGCGCTGGGTTCAGTTTTGCTGCTTTCTTGTTGAACTTTTATCCCTAACTTTTTGTTTTGATCAGGAAGCAGCTTTTGCTGCAGCTACACCTGTTACTGGAGGAGTGTCCAGAGCCTCCTCGTGGTCCTCCTCGGTGGCGAAGCTTTCCCGGCGTTAGCCGGCCCGTCGCTGGCGCAGCGAAGCGCCTGTGGCTTTGGCAGGATGAGGCACTAGGCTTAATTAGAGTCTTCTGCCTTTTTTTTTCCTTCCTCTCTAAAGCCATTCATCTGAAAAAACAACCAATAAGTGATTCCTTATGAGCTGTCAGGTCTAGTGCTCCTCACTGGGAAGCGCCTCTGAGGGCTTAAGGCCACGTGTTGGTCCGTGCTCCCTCTTTGCTGCACTTTTGGCCTGTTCTTCGTGTTACTGATTTATTCTTTTCTTTTGTAAAGCTTGCTTAAGGCCTCGCAGTGTGTGCTGGAACTCATGTCACTCTTAAAATATCACAAAGATCAGAGAACACGTAGTTAAAGGGGAACTGCCACAGAACAGCGTCCTGGGCAGAGGGTAGGAAGGCTGGAATTGCGCTGGGAACTTTTTCCCTCGTGCCTTCAGCTGCAGATTTACGTACAACAATGATGTTCAGATGGGATTTTACAAACCGTGGGCTATGGGTTTTTTGGCTGCTGGGGGCGTGGGGCAGTCAGTAAACTCCTGTTGTCTCTTTCCAGTCGATGTGGAGCACTCCCACGTTAGATTTCTAGGAAACCTGGTCTTAAACCTCTGGGACTGCGGAGGGTAGGTACTGGTTGTTCTTTTGCTTTTGAAACCATTGGGGGGGGGGGGTCTGGCTCTGGGGCATAAAGCTGGGGCTGTACCACCACAGAGGTCCTCCTGCCCCGGGGGAAGAGAACAGAGCGAGTAGAACAAGCTTCGCGCGTGCGCTGTCAAACTGGTGAGACAGCTCGGGAAAGAAGGGGAGCCACGTCCTAGGCGGGTGGGTGGAAGAGGCCGGTGTGACAACACTGTCTCTGGCGTTACCCCTCCACGAAGGGCGCAGGGTGGAGGTCCACCTGCTGCCAGCAAAACCCCTGAGCCCTTCCCCGGGACCTTCTCCCGAGGCGGTGGGAGGTGACGCTGCCTTCAGAGTTCTTCCCGGCAGCTCGATCCGAGCCGGGTGGGTGCTGAGGAGCGACGCTGAAGGCCGACAGCCGTCCTGTGGCTCTTTGAAGATCGCTCTCCCGCTGACAGAGCCTCAGCAGAGGCCGTCCAGCGTTGAGCTGCCTCGGCTGCCGTGTCCTCACGCCTCGGCTGAGCCCTCTTTGGCGCCTTAAAGGAGGTTTAAATCCCGGGCTGACAGGCTGCGCTGGTGGCTCCGGTTGTGTTTTACCTCCTGCTGCTGTGGCTTCGGCACATGCGGCTCTCCCAGGCCAGTGTGGGACCAGAAGCGACGTAGCTCTGTGCGCCCAGGACGCTGAGCAGCCAGCTGTGAGGTGAGGGAAGCTTCGGCTTCCCGTGAGGCTGGGGAGCAGATGCTTTCCAGGAGCTTCCAGCTTGGCTTGGCCGGAGATGCTCAAGGGAGCCGTGTGGGATGGGGACCGTCACCGCCCGTGGGGCTCTTGCCTGGACCCCTGTGGTGGGGTCTCTAGCTCCAAGGGCAAACCTTGCCTGAGGTTTTTGACACGTGGCACCTTCCCTGACAGCGCTCTGAGGTGAGTCTCCTTGCTGTGTTGCTCTGCTCCTTCTCAGACAGGACACCTTCATGGAGAACTACTTCACCAGCCAGCGGGACAACATCTTCCGCAACGTCGAAGTCCTCATCTACGTCTTCGACGTCGAGAGCCGTGAACTGGAGAAGGACATGCACTACTACCAGTCGTGCTTGGAGGCGATTCTTCAGAACTCCCCCGACGCGAAGATCTTTTGTCTAGTGCACAAGATGGACTTGGTGCAGGAGGATCAGCGGGATTTGGTGAGAAGCCGGTGGTTGCCATAGAAATGCTTTCAGAGGGAGCGTCTCTTGACTGTGCTGGTGCGTTGTGATCTCATACTTCACATGCAGCCCCGTCAGCGCTGCTCCTAGAAGGGTTTCTCAGATGTTAAGGGTTGTCAAAGCCCTCTAAGCTCTTTCTGCCTCTCCTAAATTCTATGTCATCGCCACCTCTTGTGTATCATCTGGTGGAGAACTGAACTGATGGTTTCTAGTGGCAACTGCTTTTCCCCCTTCCTTTTATAGCACTAACTCTAGTGCTTTCACCAGACCTTGGCTCCCGAAGGGAGGTAGAACTGAAAGGAAGGTAGGGCTGAAAGAAATCCAGTGACCTTAAACTCGCTGCTCACCGTTCGGATGGCTTTGATGGCTTTGTGGATGGTGGTGGTGACGGTTGGTTTCTCTTTAGCTGTTGCTTTCAGTGCAGCCTGGGCTCCGTTCTAAAGTATAACCAAAAAAAAAAAGAAGAGGGTTGAAACCTTCCTGGTTAACTAGAAGTGGTTTCTGTCGGTTGATTCTGTTCTCTGTCAGTTTGCCTGCCCAGAGATCACCCCTTAAGCACTCCTCTGCCCCAAGAGGCAGCCTGCAAAGGCTGGGGATCAACCTCGCAGAGATGTTTGGTGTCTTCTTTTCCGAGCTTTTGGAAGGTTGAGGGCAGATGGGAAGGTGTTGAGTTCCTACCAGCCTTGCTTTTTCAGCTTGGACTGAAAAGCAACCGGCTCCTGATACCAAAAGAAAAATTAACTTTGTGGGTCAGACAAGCGCATCCCTGGCTGCTTGGCCGCTCCCTGGCTTGCAGCAAGCTTGGAGGCCCCTTCAGGCCGTTGGCTTTTGTCTGAAGTAAGGAGTCTTATTAAACTTTCTTCTCATTCCTGGTGAGTGTGCGCCTGGGCAGCCGCAAAGGAGGCCATGCGAGGTCCTGTGGCTGAAACCACACCCTGACCTCGCCGCGTGGAGGCTTCTTCCATGAGCAGGTTGGCTTCAGATCACTCCTGGTGATCCTCCCCTTCGAGTTTTAGTTCTGCCCTCCAGCTCGGTGCAGAAAGAGCTCGAAGAGCTTGATTCGAGGAGCTTTTCCTCGCTTCCAGACTGAAGGATGAGTCTAAAAATCTTCTGGATGCTGTCCTGCCCAGGTTTGTGGTGGGACTAGCGGACAAATGCTGGTTTGACGTCGCCGTGCAGCCTCTGGGGGGGCCGTGAAGCGTGGGGTAGGCAGAAGAGGGGCCTGCCTTGAGGTAGGCTTTCCACGTGTGTCGTTGCACACCCATCGAGATCTGTTGGAAGGTATTTGCT